TTTCTTAAATAGCAATGTGAAGTGCTTAAATGGATGGAAACTGCCTCTTGTAGCATAGAGTAACAAACTGTGCATAGTTATGCTTGTCTCCCACCTGGGACATTTTCAGTGCACCTGAAAAGCTGAAAGTGAAACCTGAAAAGTGAACCAACAGGTTCACTTCCAGAAGCCTTTAAGGAAGATTTGTCTTCTTATCTCCAGACCTTGGGTACCTGATGGAAAAAGGTTGTCATACTCTTGCCATGATTAGTGAAGGGTCAATGGCAGTTCAAGGGGCAGTTCATTCCATCTTTTTTTAATTCCAAGTCTCCCTCTGGGACATCATCTCTCTCTCAATAATGAGGACAGCCTGGTTATGACCAACCTTGGTTACCTAACTTACATGGTTTACATGAAGGGCAAACAACCCCTCCACTTCTACCTGCAGAAATGCAGCTGGGAGATCAGTTTCTACAGCTCATGTGCATTTGTGTTCTTCTCTCACATTTACAACATTGTTCCAAACAGGACAGACCAAGAAATCCAGACGTACACCATTGCAGTAATAAATGCACTCTTCCTTAAAGCACCAGATGACAAGAGGCAGGTAAGTTGAGGGGGGCTGTATACCTATGCATCTGTGTGAGAAAAAGTGCCTCATAGTCATACTTGCAGCTGTCCCAGCCACACTTTTCCTGCAGTTAATTCAAACTGAAACTCGTTCTGTTGTTTTGTGCTGGGATATAATTCATTTTAATGGAGCTACCTCCATCTTGCACCAATATTAGGAGGGATTAAGCATTCTTCCATGCTTTTGTAGTTCCCTGTGACCTCATATGAACCATATTGACTGTGGCTGACTGTAGTATTTATTGTACTGAACCCTTTGCCAGCACAGCTTGTAAACCCAGGCTATTTTTTGGTAGAATGTTTTCCTCCCAGATTTTTTTATTAAAAAGTGTGTTTCTTTTGCAAACAAAAATATCTTGCCATGTAAGCATTTCATGACTTTTAAAGTGTGCTATTTTAAGTTAACTTTAGTGCCAGATATCAGGAAAAATTTCAAGATTGCTACTTGATGTTAAATGGGGATGGAATGTGAAGTGTTATGAAATAGTGAAGTTTTATCCATGCTTATGAAGTTGCTAGCCTGTGTCAAAACAGATTTAGTCATTTATTTATTTAACATTTCTGTCACCAGGAACAGTGATGATAATTCTTGTGGTGACATACTGTTACTGTCCAGAACAAGTTCACTGAGAGCTGCTGATCAGTTCTGACAAGGACTTTCCTTAGATTTATTTCCATTTTTAAATGCTGGAGACTGTTTAAACAAACATCAAAGCCCTTTGAGGGAGGGTTGTTTGGTTTTTTTGGGTTTTGTTTTTTGTTCTTAAAAATATTTTTAATATTGCAAACAGGGAACAGTATAATCATGGTTTAATTAGGAAAAAAAGGTTCTTCCACCCCTTACCCCTCTATTTTTTTCCTTCTTCCTCCAATAGAGTCTTCTGTATAGTTACAGAAGGCTAAGAAGGCAACACTAAGGCTACTACTACACTTACTAAGGCAAGAAGGCATGTAATAACCAAAAATTAGAATAAAAACTTTTCTTTCAATTTTGGCATAAATTCATAATAGATCCTTGTAAAAACCCCAAAGATTTTGTTGTTTGGATTTTGCTATCTACAGTGAATACTTGCTGCTGCGTTTCTGTGAAGAGTATGCCTTTTCATATTTGAAGTGGAGGAATAATGTCAGATGTAGATAAGACTTTAGTATTAATCAATGGGCATATGTTCCTTGAGTGACAGTAACACAGTGTATTGCCAGAGAGCAAAACTGTATCTTGCCAACAGTGAAACCACCTAGTGAGGCTGGCAGTAAGCCAGGCAGACTTCACCTGTACTACCTGCTGCTGTGACATAAAATTGTTAGTCATGGAGTTTATGATCATCAGGAGATAATGATCTGCTTTGGCTTTGAAGGATAATAGCTCTGACACTTGCAGGAATTTTTCCTCAGCCTTTAATAACCCAGAATATGCAGTCAGAATCTGTTCAGCTTCTCTTTATGTCTGTCTTGTGGTTAATTAGTAAACCATACAATAGAGAAGGTAGGTGTCCATTGCCTTCCAAATAGCATTAACAGATGGCATTTACTGAACCCTGTCTTTCTAAGACAATGAGCTGAGGTGATGCAGTCTCATGCAATTATCTGGGGACAGCCACTCAAAA